CACGCGCCTGCGCGCGCCACTAAATAGCTTGTGCGCATTACCTTCATGCGCCACCATAGAATTTCACGTGCCAGACAGCCTAGACCGTCGTCGCCTGCATGTTACACCAATGGTCTCCATTTTACTAAAAGCTTTCTGGATCGACCCAAACGGATCCTTTTTTACATAGTTTTCTGGCAGTTTCTTCAATTTGATTTCTTCCTTATTTTAGCCTATTTTCTAGATGTTTTCTGGTATGTCTTACAAGCCAAAACCACTACCTTGATGTTCTTATACCAATTGTCGTGGAAGCTTGCTCCAAGAATCTTCAAAACGGTATTTTTCGTGCTCAGGTCAACATTACATTTTCCTGCCAACCACCAATCCAACTGACTCTGATCCACAACCAATATATTTATCTTAGTTGTTTTTCAATCTCACCGACAAAAGATAAGATAACGGTGATGATTGGTAGCCACAAATGCTAGAAGAAAATACCACAAAGATAGGCCATGAAGACACCACAAAGTACACAACGTAATTAACCAATTTTTGGAGATAAAGGGACTGATTTCTTCTCTTCAAAGAGGCAGCCGAATTCTCCTTCTTTCACACACAAATCACACTAGAAAAATAGCAAGGGTTGTTACATTATAAGTAGGCTAGGTTTGGCTTTTAGTTGGACCAATAAGAAAGCTAAACGGGCCAACATTTAAGCCATCTAAAAGAGAATACAATTGGACCGGGTAGAGTCTATGGACTTTGTTGTTAGTAATTATTTCATTAATCGGCTTAGGCCTATGAAATATATTATCTTACGTTAACATCATAGCCCAGGTTTATTGGGTATAAAAAAATCCAATAATTTTCTCGAAAAAGAGTATGTTCGTAACAAATCAAATAGCAGCACATGGTTGACTCGAACGAACCCAATCATTTGGTCAAGTTTTTTTTTTTAAAAAAAATATATTAAAGTAACATATCTCGAAAATTCGATCTCTCAACCAATAGTATACTTGTTTGTATACCTTTTATTTTTGTAAAAAATATTATACAATTTCAATTATTATCTTTAAAAGAATGATCATTTTTTGAAGGGGTGGACCGGGGGAGAGGGGGAGTCCTATAGAGTCAATTGACCTCTTAGTTTTTGAAAAAAGAATTAAAAAAGTCTGTTTTTCTATTAGAACCTACATTGTAAATGTATAATGCAATCGGTAGTTCCAAACTCAACTTTGCGCTTTTGTCTTTCTCTCCCAATTTGCTGACTGCGGACTGCTATAACTATTTATAGTTTACCTTTCATTTAAAAGTTTGATTGTGACCCCCTAATTCAAAGTGTCTGGTCCGCCCTCGATATTTTGTCTAGATTATTTTGAAATTCAAATAGATGTAATAATAGTGTAGTGATAAGAAACTTGATTTTTGGCTGATTATTGAGAGGCTGTTACCATACGTCACTTGCATGAAACAATATTTTGGTTGCCACTTACCAACCGTTGTTACATTGGGGTTCTTGTCCACACACTTCCCACCCTTTTTTCTTAATTATTAAGATAAAATTCAATCATATGATGCGATTTACAGTCACATTGCCCTTTTCCCCACCCGACAAATTAATTTATACGATGCTAATTAATAATACAATTTCATCAAACTATTCAATCATGTGTATGGTTGCGTAAGTGATCAAATTAAATTTAAGTAATTATAAATTGTTAGCTCTATTTGAAATGTATATATTATAATATGTTTGGTCAAAATAATTAAATTATGCAAACATATTGTTACTGATCATAAATAGTACTCTTGATAGGACCACGTGGAAGCCCCATGTTCACACATTTAGCATTGAATCAAGAGTAAAGAAAGAATTATGAAAGTGACTTAATCAATAGCCTAGGTAAGTTCTTCGAAGTGGTGTAACTCCTTCATTCAAAGTGGTTTCTCTTCTTTTTGTCGAACCCTTCACATCCGAAGTCCATAACACCCAAAAGAGGGTCCAATAGACGAGTAAAGATATATTTTTTAAAATTGTTTTAAAATTTTTTTTTTTTTTTCATATTATAAATAATTTTTTTGGATTTAAGATTGTTTTTAATTCTTTTTCTTTATGATTAAACTTAAATTTTCAATTTTAATTAAATAATATTTATATATTCTTTATTTAATTTTTGTAACTTTGTTTTCTTATATATTTTTTGAAAATTGTTTTGAAATTTCTTTTTTCTTAATATTATAAGCGAATTTTTATTCGATTTAAAATTCTTTTCTTTTTATGATGCAACGTAATTTGTTCAATTTTAGTTAAATACTATTTATTTTTAATTATAATTATTTCAATTTAACTTAAAAAAACTTTATAATAACCTTTTTTCGTTTTTTTTTATTTTTGCCTGCAATTCTTTTTTATTTTTGTTCTTTAATTTGTTAAATTATTTAATTTCTTTAAATCTTAAAAGTCTCAAAAGATTAGAATCTCAAATTAAAAATAATCTATAGCTAAAACGAATTATTCCAAAAGACAAAAATGATCCACCTATTAGGAGGCAGAGTGGAGGGCCACTCCATTGACACTGTAGTTGTAATATTTTCACATAACTCATCTATTATCACACCCTAAAAGACAACAAAAATTATGCACCAGCACCACAGATAGTGTATTAAATATACAAAAAAATGAGGAGCTTACGTGTCAAGAAGTAAAGAGACGTCAAATATACAGGGACCTCACCGGACAGTTCTAGTCTTAATTTCTTGGACCGAATCTTGCAAGAAAGGGTTAGGGCCTTAGTCCCTAATGTGGTTTCTTTTTAACTGTCACTCACAGTAAAATTTTATCAACTGAATGTGTTTTCCAAGCTTTCTTCTATTCCCAATACAAACACTTTCCATTCTTATTGAACAATGACCATTTTTCATAACCATTTCATTTGTAATCTTTCCCTTCACATGAATATATAATTGAAGAATGAGAATTTGCTAAAATATTTTATATTTAGTGAGCTACATCATATACCACCTAACATTCGAAATAAGAAACCTCTCTTTGAGCTACGAAATTCGTACAATAGTACAGAAATTCGTTGCAATGAAATTGGTCTCAAACTTTTCAGACATGCTTATAATATGAATAATCCTTTCAATCATCTATACCTTAACTATTAGTTCGACTACAAATCTGCCAAAACCAAATATTTCCTTAACTACAATAAAACACTATACACATAATCACCTTAAGTACAATTGTTCAACCATAAAAAAAATAAAATTAGAAGCTAAAATTATGAATAATGTTAAAAATGAATTATTT